TGAAGCCGCGGATGTCGAAGCGCGAAGTGGCGAGGGTTCACTGTATTCACATTAAAGAGTCCTCTAGTAAAGACATAGCTACTTCTTAAGTAGGATAGGGTTTCTCAGTCTTGATACTGTTGACATTTCTGGCCAGGCAACTCTTTTAGTGGGCCGTCTTATGCACTGTATGATGCATAAGATGTTTAACTGCATTTCTGACCTGTATGTACCCTTCCCTAAATTGTGTCTCTTAGAGGACAAAATCACAACAGGTGAAAACCACAGAAATCCATAAATAATTCAAGGTGAATATAAAATGGTTATATTACTGTCTGTCACTGTAAGGTAATGACTGTCATTGATCTTTATTCATTGCCAAGAGACAATTTGTGGATTTCAGTCAGGCAAAGGGTTTTGACATTTTGCATTTCTTGAAATATAACTCTATTGCGAAATTTAAAAATTTGCACTTACCTTTCTTAACTCATCAGCAATGAGAAAGGGATCACAGAAAGAATCTAAACACTTAACAATATGTCCACTGTGCCGCACAATATCTTCATCGTATAGTCGATTAAAAAATGACATTGAAAGCTGTGTACAGGGAACATTTATAGCTTCAATGTTTTTCACTTCAGTTCCTGGAAAAAATATTTATAAATAATAAAAAAGTTAAATTGGTATTCTCAAAGGTTTCCAAGATAAATGTCACATAGAGAAATTTTAAGAATTCAAATAAGATATATACTTTGATGTGTTTAAAGTAAATATTAATAATTTTATTATCTTTATTAAATGTTGAAGTTTGTCCATTTCTAGTAATCATTAATGATTTAATAACAAAATTTCATCATTACAGGACAAGAGCAAAGAATGTGTGAATTAGAGAGTGCTTAAAAAGGAAATAGCTTTTCTATACAGTAGAGAATTAGTAGACGTTTTCTTATATGTATCAGAAGTATCCATAATAGTATAGGAATTACTTTATATGACTCCAAATTTATATCAGGCTTCATTCTTTATCATTTCTTATTATAAAATTATATTTATTAACATTCAGTAATGAGTGTTTCTGTTGTCAAGAGAGACCAGCCCTGGAAAAAGGACATCATGCTTAGCAAAGTTGAGAGTCAAGGACAAGGAGGTAGACTCTCCACAAGATAAGATTGAGACTGTGGCTGCAACAGTGGCTTAAACACAATTGTGGGGATAGCCTGGCGGCTTTTCCTTCTGTTGTACATGCGGTCAGTTTGTCAGAACCAATTGACAGCAACTAACAAATGAGTGTTTCTAAAGTTTTGAGAGTGTCTTAAAAGTTCTTGTTCTCCATTCAAAAATTTCCCTAGGCTTTCATCTACAGTGCTTAGTATAAAAAAATGTGTTCCAATTCAAGGTAAATTGCAAACCAGGCCCTCATCGAATTATCACAAGGTCTACCCTGAAAGAAAAGGAATGGACTAATGGAAAACAGGTCCGGCCCGCTATTGAACAGAGAGATACCCATCTACTCTGGTCAGGATAACAGTTAGGCTTGGAACTATGTGTATGTTTTGTTTTTTCCCCCCCTCTTTTGGTGTCTACCTATATAAGATAGGCAGAATAAGCAGTTCCAAGGAGACAGTAGAAAGCAGATGTTTTGGAACTGATGGTGGTAACAATTGTAAAATTATGCTTGATCTAACTGAATTATGGGCTGCTATAATGTCATAAGAGCTCCCAATAAAATGATTAATAATAATTTTAAAATATCACAAGGTCCAAATTAGGACTTCCTCTCAACCTCTCCTTGGATGTCTTTCTAAATGTTTCTTTCAGAAGTGGATTTTCTGTTACTAGCAGTTTTATTGAATTATAGACATAAAGATATTTTGATTATTACCTTAATAGATGTATCTCTTTCCTTTTTTTTGCTTTATTATCCTTTTAAAAAATCATTTTATTGGGGGCTTGTATTACTCTTATCACAATCCATACATCCATCCATTGTGTCAAGCACATTTGTACATTGTTGCCATCATCGTTCTCAAAACATTTGCTTTCTGCTTGAGCCCTTGATATCAGTTCATTTTGTCCCCTCCCTCCCCACTCCCTCATGAACCCTTGATAATTTATAACTTATTATTACTTTGTCATACGTTACACTGTCTGATGTTACTCTTTGCCCACTTTTCTGTTGTCCACCCCGCAGGGAGGAGGTTATATGAAGATCCTTGTAATTGGTTCCCTTTCCACCTTACCTTCCCTCCACCGTCCTGGTATCGCCACTCTCACCACTGGTCCTGAAGGGATCATCTGTCCTGGATTCCCTGCGTTTCCAGTTCCTATCTGTACCAGTGTACACCCTCTGGTCTAGCCAGATTTGTAAGGTAGAACAGGGATCATGATAGTGGTAGGGAGGAAGCATTTAGGAACTAGAGGAAAGTTGTATGTTTCATCGTTGCTACACTGCACCCTGACTGGCTCCTCTCCTCTCTGCAACCCGATGTATCTCTTTCTTTTGAAGTTTACAGGAAGCTTCAAAAAGTTTCTGGAAAAATCCATTATCTTTTAATTCCATTTTTTCACGGACTTTTTGAAGCCTTTTAATATAACACATCCCCACACACACTCATTCAGACTAAAGGGGTTGCATTCTTTAGTTCTGAATTTAGGGACTGTAGAACTCTGCGATGGCTCTTGGTGTGTTCTCTCCTTGGATGTATCTGTTGGCCCTGTGACCTGAGAAGTAGAGTGTTCTCCAGAAGAGAAATACTGGCAATTTTACCTCTTCCCTCCGGCTGTCCACTTGGGAGTCCAGCCAGGATCAGTTGCTCTATGTTCTAATTCTGAGCTGGGCTTGTTGGGAAGCCAAGAAGGATGCGAGCCAGAAACTGTATGCTTCAGTAATTTCAGAAACTATACTGCTTAAAGGGGCAAAATCCTCTGAGGAGTTAGATAACATGAAAACCAAATCACAGAAAATGATAGAGCAGCATTCAACGGCAGAGAACAAGAGCAGTGGAAGGTGTATCAGTCTTACAAGATGGGCTAGTTACAGGATGAGGCACTGACATTGGGTAATATATCATTTAATAAATCTACTCTAGCTTTGATTTTGAGAGCAGCAGGGAGGTTTGGCTGATGAGAGATGGTCATTAAATTCAAGCCACTGAATCTGAGGCATGAACATATCATTCTTCTAGGCAACAAGTTATTTTTCAAGGACAAAATACTTGTCTATTAGTGTTTAAAATTTTTAAAAATTATTTATAATTTTAATATAGTACAAACAGCTTTTGACTATTATTGCTGTTAGTTAGAGCATCTGGTTGTTATTCTCAATTCTCAGTATGAATAAATAACATGACCACAGGGCAGAATATGATAGTAAAGGGTTTTTTCTCTTTCCATCTTTTTGATATTTAATACTTTCTCTTTTCTGAAAAGCTGAGTGCTAATTCAGAAATCTACTTTGCTATACAATTGTGGTTAATTCTTTTAAGATGCTAATATAAATATTCAAAAATTCAGCCTATTGGGAAGTTTATTATTTAAATAGTATTATATAAAGTTCTGTGGTGATGTGGGCAAGGTTTGGGACTGATAATTGCAAGGTTAGTGGTTCAAACATACCAGCTGCTACACTGGAGAGCAATGAGGCTGTCTACTATAGAGATTTAGAGCCTCAGAAACCCGATGAAGGTTTGCTATGAGTCAGAATTGACCCAATGGCATTAGATTTGGCTTTGGTTATGTAAAGTTGAATTATTGTTATCGTAATTATAATGGTTAATTGCCCACCAGAAGAAAAGGAAATGAAAACTAAGCATGAGGGATCTAGGTTCTATATATTTTAAATTATACTTTAAATCTGCTCTAGAATGGCAAAACAATTAAGGCATTTTTAAAAATTTAACTACAGAATGGAAAAATTTTATGACAAATTTGTAGTTCTATATTTATTTCTGACTAAATTGCATATAAAAAGCACAGTTATGTCTTGGTTGTAAATTATCATATTATATGTAATTATTAGTCATCATTATTTTTGGCATTTTATGTTAGGTATTCTGGGAAATATAAATAACAGTACTATTGTTAATTATACTTATGTCAACGGGTGCTCAATCCATAAAGATTTGTCAAACTGTAAAAACTATTCTACTGTTCATAAAGTTTCTAGACTTGGGAGAACCTGAGGGATTTTAAGATTGATTTTCCTTGTAGTCTTTTCAAGCCCAGGCATGGGCTTCCAGTAGGGGTTCAGAAATACTTTTCTAAAGAACTTAAAAATTTTACAGATGGGTTTGTAGATGACACAGTCAAATCAAAAGTAGAAAGATGGACTAAGTAATCTCTTAGGGTTCCATCAGATCTTGATGGAATTTGCCAATGAAGGGCATAGAAAGGAGTTACTGTACCAATTCTTATAAAATCTGTACACACTTATAAGTTGGTAGAAGGGATGATTTACCTAATTACAGAAAAAAACCTTGAGATCTTATATGAAACTAACATCAAGTTGAATTAAAAAATGGGAGAAGCTAAATAATTTTATAAACAATCACTGTGATTGAATGCAATAAATCCAGTACTAGCAAAAATGAGTTAGACTGGAGACATGAAGGAAGAAAATAATCAAATTTGAAAAGAAGCAAGGTTTGATAACATGTAGCGACATTGTATATGGGCAGAAGAAAGTGTAGGATCTTGAAAGACAGCTGTGTGAAGTCAAGTCTTTACAGGTAGAAGAAATAGATCTGGCAAAGGCAGACGAGCACCAAGGGAAGGAAAGACCAGGTGTCCTTAGGCTCTCTGGATTAAGGCTCCTATCTAAAAATAAAGATAGGTATTTGCAAATCTATTAACTGGAGTCCTACCAAGGATTTATTTTGAAGGATAATAAAAACATCCTTTGACTTTTCACTTACTACCAGAAGACATAAAGCGCTCTGGTGGCGCATAGAGGGTTACGAGTTGGGTTTCAGACCACAAGGTCAGCAGCTCGAACACACTAGTTGTTCCTTGGGAGAAATATTAGGCTTTCTGTTCCTTTAAAGACTTACAGCCTCTGAAACCCAAAGGGGCAGTTCTCCTCTGTCCTATGGTCACTCTGTGTTGGCCTCCACTGACTCAACAGCAGTGGTTTTTTTTGCTTGTTTGTTTATTAGAAGACATGTTAGATAGAGGTCAAAACATTTCATTGTTTTTCAGAGTGTGATTCTGAAGGACTCATCAAGGGTCCTTGTGAAAAAAATCCAATTTAACATCTTGAACTCCAACCCAATCCCATTTTAAAAAAAATGTTCCAAGGCTACTGTTTACTAGACATCTATTCCCTGTTCTGAGATTTAGCTCAAGCATGCTTTATCAGTGGAATCTTTGCTGATCCTTCTGCCTGGATAGAATTGATCACTCCTTCCTCGTTTCCACTTCTATGGTGATACCTATGATGCATTACTGCATATATATTTTTTCATATATTTTGAGTTTCTTGACTCCATTTTTTCTCTTATTCACCTTAATGTTCCCAGCATCAAAAAGTATATAAGGAAGGCACATAGTCCTTTCTGAATGAATAAAAAGAAAAACTGCTCTTGGGTTCGATGACAGGAAACCAAAACCTAACTGACTACTGGTGAGTCGAGGCCAACTCATACAGGACAGAATAAACCTGCCCCACAGGGTTCAGACAGAGTAAACCTGCCCCACAGGGTTTCCAAGGTGTGAGCTTCACAGAAGCTGACTGCCACATTTCTCTCCAGGGCACCAAACTGCTGACCTAGTGGTTAGTAGCCAAGTTCTTAACTTTTGTGCCACCAGCTCTCCTAAGCTAGGATACCAAACCACCAACCAACCCACATCTGTGGAGCGGCTTTCGACTCCCGGAGCCCAAAGGACAGAGTAGACCTGTCATGGTGGGGCTGGTGGATCTGAATCACTGACCTTGCAGTTAGCAGCCCACCACTTCCCCCACCAGAGTCCCTGGAAGGCAGACTGTTGTTAGATGCCGCAGACTCAGGGCCGACTCACAGCAGACCTTATGTATAACAGAATGAAACATCGGAGGGGCCTGGGCCAGTATCAAGGAGTCCTAGTGGTGCAGTACTTACACGTTGAGCTGCTAACCACAAGCTCCACGGTTGGAAACTACAAGCCAAACCAAGGGAGAAAGATGAGGCTTTCTAAGTTGGCATCAACTCGATGGCAGTGAATTTTTGGTGCCATTATCACAGTCATGTTTGAGCACAGATAGCAGCAGCAAATCCCCAGAAGGGAGGTGGCAAAGCTGGTCATACAAATAGAAGTCACTTTTTGAAATTTGGATTTTAATAAGAAAATTCTGGAAGTAACATGTTGTTACAATAGTAAAATAAGACCACTGCATCAGGCCAATGCTCCCTCACAGTAAATCTATCTCGGTTTTCTGAAGCTGTAAATCTTTACAGGAGCAGCCAGCCTCATCTTTCGCGCATGGAGTAGATGGCAGGTTTGAACCATCAACTTTGCAGTTAGCAGCCCAATGCTTACCCACCTTGCTAATAGCACTCCAAATAGTAAGGCATTCACCTGCAAAAATGAAAAGTCAGTTTTATTTACCTAATGTAATCCATTGTCCAGAAGAATCGGAAAGAAATTTCAAATTGGGAATAACATTAGGGTCTTTGAAAAAATCCTAAAATGTGGAGGAAACATGTTAAGAGACTTGGTTATAAATGATTAACAAAAAAACAACTTTTTGTATAGCTATGGTGAACTATCATTTAATTCAAACCAAATAGAATTCTAAATGGATATATTGTCTAAATAATACATGCTTTATAAAGGAAATACATTTGTCACCTTCAAGTTGGAACAGTATTAACATTGTGCAGAAGTATAGACATCACTAAGATTTAATTTATAGTGCAAAGTTGGTGGTTACGTGGACAAGCAGATGGATTCCGGGCTCCCACTCTAGCCCCAACCCAAGAGTAGTTCATTCTGATAACATGGCTCTGTTCAACACTTGCTTCCATGAAAGGATTACTGAAGACAAGGTTGCTGTAGCACAGTGTGGTAAAGAAAGCAGGTGGTGCCCAGCTATCAACTGGAAGTGTCTGGGGTCTTACAAGGCTTGCATCCAAACAAGCAGTCATCTATATGAGGAATCAACTAAATCCACGTGGAAGCAGGATACCAGCCAGGGTGATCCAAATATGACAATGGGAAAATTATCAGAGCTTAAATTGTGAACACCCAATTTGTAGAAGGTTGTGGGGGTCAGTGGGAGCCCAAAATCCATCTACAGAGTATCCAACTTGATTAAGCTCCTGAGCAATCCCTTCTAGCCACAGGCAAGGACTCAAAAAGCTTTACTAGCAGAGATTATTGTAAACTTGATAATGGTAGATTGAACATGGTGTAATTTGACACTCGGTCAGCTGACCTCCAGTTTGAACCAACCTGAATTTGATCTAGGCTCAAGTATTTCTTGCTTGTTCCATGACAAAAATTTCTTCCTTGGCTTTTAAAATAGGATAGTGGTCTTTCTTTCCTTCCTCTTTATTTGTATTTTAAAATTATTATTATTTTATTCTTGCCATTTTATCTTTTGTTTTTTTATTGTTACTGCTGGGTTTCCCAGTTTGTGAAGCACAAAAGGAGTAAATGCATAGAGATTTTGTTAGTCTGGGTAGACTAGAGAAACAAATTCATAACCACGCATATGTATATAAGAGAGAGTTTTATATAAAGGGTAGTTGGACATTAAGAAAACATTCCAACCCAATTCAGTCCAAGGTCCTAAATCCGACATTAGCCCACATGTCCAAAACCAATCTATAAAGTTTTCTTCAGACTCACAAAACATATGCAATGACGCCGAATGCAGGACGATCCAGGCCAGTGGGTGGAAAGTCTTTGGATCCAGTGGCATTGTAGGCATCTCAGTGTTGGCAGGGCTGTCTTATGTGGCTTCTCCGGCTTCAGAGGTCTGGTGGCACCAGAGTAGATCCATGTGGCTTCTCTAGCTCCGGGCACTAGCATAGTTCCATGTGTCTTGTCAGCTGCAATGTCTCCCAGGGAGTGAGCAGAGAGGTGTCTCCCGCCTCCAAGGAAGAGGTACCAGATTTCCCAGAATTCTCAAGGAGAAGGCCATACCCACACAGAGGCCTCACTAGCTATGATCTGATTTACAAGCTAGACTCCACCCCTACATTCTTAATCCTCAAATTAACAAATGATTATATAACTACCACAGAGATAATAACTGATGCAATGGTTTATCAGAGATTTGGGGTGGTGGGAGATATGGAAGGTGAGAGGATTTGGGGAGCAAATAAGAAATCCAGGAGGGGGTAGCAAGCATTGGATTGACTGTGATTATGTTTTACAACTCACTTTAAAAGCAATTTAACCATGGATTTGTGAATACTATATCAAGAACACAACCAAAAAAAGCATTAAAGAATGTTGATATAATGTGAAAAATGTAGCCAATGTCATTAAATAATATATATCAAATTGTTTAATGGGATCCTAATTTGCTTTGTAAACTCTCACCAAAAGATAATATATATTTTTAA